TTTTGTAATACCTAAATTATTAACAGCTCCTGGTGAACGTGGACCCAAAGGTCAAGATAATTTCAAGTCGTACCCAGCCGTCGATTGCAGTGTGCGAGATACTGGCTGCATTCGGTGCCCCGCAGGTTCCCCTGGTTTTCCCGGACCACCCGGCAAAGAAGGCCTTAAAGGTCCTCCAGGCCTACCAGGTATACTCTACCCGATTACCCGTTCGTAATCGTGCATTTCGCGACATGCTTTTGTAGGCAACCCTGGCTATACACCGAAGAGAGGAGCTCCTGGTCCTCCTGGTCCGAGTGGAAACCAAGGACGTCCAGGTATTAGAAACTTGCAAGCTTCACGCTGTATAAATTTTTTTCAAGGTTTAAAAGGTGATCCGGGTCACAGAGGACTACCAGGGAAGAATGGGGTGATACCAGTTCGAAGTAGAGGAAGCAAGGGACCTCGCGGGAATCCTGGAAAACAAGGTTTTTAGCGTCTCCTTCGCTTCTGTCAGTCATAGCTTTGAACACAATCTTAAGGCAAACCGGGCAAACCGGGCGTTCGAGCACAGGATGGTTTGCCTGGAGCCATGGGTCCTACGGGAAAACCTGGTTATGGTGGAGAAAGAGGAAAGCCAGGTCAGCCGGGAGTGCGAGGAGCAGCTGGACCACCAGGCCGCGATGCTGCGTACTGCACATGCCCAAAACGAACGATGCTTTTCTTGAAAAATTCAAAAACATGACTTTGGAAGTGAAAGTTCCATTTGAATTTCTTGGTTGTATGCAATTTGCTTGATAGATGGTTAATTATGTGATTTGATGCTTTCAAACAATCTTAATTTGCTAAAGAATAATAATTCGTATTCCTAACAAATTCTGCAAGCATGGTGTAGAAAACAGAGAAAAGAAACGAAAAGAAAGATGACAAAAGTGAACGAAACCATCATTACGTCAAGAAACTTGGGCCAACAAGGGAAGGATACTAGATCGATCCAGCCTTTTTAGATGAGGTGAATATTTTCTGATGCTTGATCGCCGATTCCAAATCTTATTCGGTAGTTGCCCAGCTTCTGAAGGAAGTCATGGGCATGAGCATAGACCAATAATAGCATCCCTTTTTCGATTCTAATCCGCTAATCATGTTTCAAAGATCGTTTTTTTTTTTGCAAGTGCTTATATGGCACAGAACAGGCATCTTATACTAAAACCATGCAAAATCGACGGGAAGAAACGCTCATAACTACCGATGATTCCGTCTGCAAGTAAGGCCTGACTTATCTGGCAGTCTTCAGACATATCTTTTTGGGGTAGCTGTAATGAAAAAAGGACCTATCTGTAGGGCGAAGTGATCTAAAGGGTTAATAGGGGGGAGATATCCCAGTTGAAGAAGCGGGCCTATCTGTAAGATTTTGAGGTAATCTTTTTCTGGGAACCCCAGATAGAAGACAGTTTTGAAATTAGCCCCGATGCAGAGAGCGAGATGCACAATGGTATGCGCATTCAAAAATACCCAGTCGGCTTAGGCCTTGGCTTATGATAGTCACTTCACCACATAGCACAACATTACCAGATTCAAGATAAAATAAGCTTGGGAAATCTCCGGTCCAATTTATAATCTTCAATTCTGGCTCTCTACAAATGATACTACCCCAAAGACCAGCATTATCTCTCCGGAGGTGAGAACTAGTCTTCAGTCTAACTTGGTATCCTATAAATAAGCAATTAGCACCCTTCCAGTCGAGAGGTGCACGAAATTCGATATCAGCATGATCATCTTAGTCATAATTAGCTCTCAGTATGAAGCTGTTACAGATCTTGCAGAAATTTCACTCAGTGCTGCATTACACGCTTCACCTGTCACCTGCCACACCTGGCCTCCCGTGGATAAAGCCTATAATTGCCTGGATTAGCGATTGTCGTACGCACGTACATAGTCTTCAATAAGAGACTATCTGTTCCTAGGTATCCTACGTCCAAAACGAATCTCCCTTGTTCATAGCTAAGCTGTCGTAGCTTAGCAAGTAGCAGAATCCACTTTTTTCTCTTCATGTGTAATATGCGCAAAGCAGGAGAGTGAGGATCGATGTGGGAGACGGACAGTACACCGATGATGGCTTGCGAATTCTTCTCCTAAAAAATTTTTTCGCGCTCCGAAAGTGCACAGCTCTATGTATAGACTAGAATACGCATGCTTCGGACATGATTACAAAATGTTAGGCTTTCCTGCAACCTTAGAGCATAAAAACGTCTGACAGCATATGATGAGAGCAAAGATTGGAGACGAAAAACAGTCATTTGTCTGTAAAGGTCGCTGCCGCTGTTTAAGGGGCAATTGGCCTTTTAATGGCATTTTCACCAGTTTGAGAGAAGAATACCAATAGAGATCGAGTCCTACAGTCTGCTATACTGGGTACATGACGATATACCCAGTATCCCTTTGCACAGACACAAATCATAAGCTTTCTCCGATCATTCCACCAGAAGGCTGTATGGGCTGCAACTATAACTCGGCAACGTAGAGCGACCTTCTCGCAAGATTTTACCTGACACGCTGACATAAAAGTGGTCGAGCACCTCCAAAAAAAGTTGCGGAAAATAGAGTGCAGTATAACTGAAGGTGAGTTACAGAAAAGATCCGGTTTCTTTACTTTTCGCATCTCTATGTTTTTACGTTCTGCAATTACGAAGTTCTGCTGACTACAGCTATATGATCGACTCTTCAAAGCGGGGGTTTTTTTTCACCCAAGCCAACCCGAGTAATCTTCTCCTCAAATTTCGCACAAAGAAACTCACAAAAAAAACAGCAAGGATCAACCCCTAACACAGGTTCGCATTTGTCTCAAAAAGAAATGAGAAACGTCGCTTGCATTTTTACTGGAAGTTAATTATGTGCTCAAAAAATCGTTACTTTGCTTTGAAGAGAATATCTGAGATAAGTTCAAAACGAAAACGCTGATTGGAATTGTCAAATTGTTCCGGCCTGTTTGGCAAACAACTTAGTGTTGATCAATTTGATGGCAGACAAAGTCGCTACCATATGTTCCATTTCTGCACTTGAGCTACTCCTTTATACTTGATCTTCA